TGTTAGCAATTCTGGAAGGTGTGAAAATAGATAAGTCCCCTGGGCCGGATGGGATTTACCCTAGGATTGTCTGGGAAGCTAGAGAGGAGATTGCAGAGCCTTTGGTTTTGATCTTTATGTCGTCATTGTCTTCAGGAATAGTGCCAGAAGACTGGAGACTAGCAAATGTTGTCCCCTTGTTCAAGAAGGGGAGTAGAGACAACCCTGGTAATTATAGACCAGTGAGCCTTACTTCGGTTGTGGGTAAAGTGTTGGAAAGGATTATAAGAGATAGGATTTATAATCATCTAGAAAGGAATAATTTGATTAGGGATAGTCAACACAGTTTTGTGAAAGGTAGGTCGTGCCTCACAAACCTTATTGAGTTATTTGAGAAGGTGACCAAACAGGTGGATGAGGGTAAAGCAGTTGATGTGGTGTATTTGGATTTCAGTAAAGCCTTTGATAAGGTTCCCCATGGTAGGCTATTGCAGAAAATACGGAGGCATGGGATTGAGGGTGATTTAGCCGTTTGGATCAGAAATTGGCTAGCTGTAAGAAGACAGAGGGTGGTGGTTGATGGGAAATGTTCATCCTGGAGTTCAGTTACTAGTGGTGTACCTCAAGGATCTGTTTTGGGGCCACTGCTGTTTGTCATTTTTATAAATGACCTGGATGAGGGCGTAGAAGGATGTGTTAGTAAATTTGCGGATGACACCAAAGTCGGTGGAGTTGTGGATAGTGCGGAAGGATGTTGCAGGTTACAGAGGGACATAGACAAGCTGCAGAGCTGGGCTGAGAGGTGGCAAATGGAGTTTAATGCGGAAAAGTGTGAGGTGATTCACTTTGGAAGGAGTAACAGGAATACAGAGTACTGGGCTAATGGTAAGATTCTTGGTAGTGTGGATGAGCAGAAAGATCTCGGTGTCCATGTGCATAGATCACTGAAAGTTGCCACCCAGGTTGATAGCGTTGTTAAGAAGGCGTACGGTATGTTAGGTTTTATTGGTAGAGGGATTGAGTTTCGGAGCCATGAGGTCATGTTGCAGCTGTACAAAACTCTGGTGCGGCCGCACTTGGAGTATTGCGTACAGTTCTGGTCACCGCATTATAGGAAGGATGTGGAAGCATTGGAAAGGGTGCAGAGAAGATTTACCAGGATGTTGTCTGGTATGGAGGGAAGGTCTTATGAGGAAAGGCTGAGGGACTTGAGGCTGTTTCCATTAAAGAGAAGAAGGTTAAGAGGTGACTTAATAGAGACATACAAGATGATCAGAGGATTAGATCGGGTGGACAGTGGGAGCCTTTTTCCTCGGATGGTGATGGCTAGCATGAGGGGACATAGCTTTAAATGGAGGGGTGATAGATATAGGACAGATGTCAGAGGTAGGTTCTTTACTCAGAGAGTAGTAAGGGCGTGGAATGCCCTGCCTGCAAAAATAGTAGACTCGCCAACTTTAAGGGCATTTAAATGGTCATTGGATAAGCATATGGATGATAACGGAATAGTTTAGGTTAGATGGGCTTCAGATTGGTTTCACAGGTCGGCGCAACATCGAGGGCCGAAGGGCTTGTACTGCGCTGTAGTGTTCTATGTTCAATGTTCTATGTACAGTCAGAAAAGCCCTGATGCAGTTTGACTGTCAGCCTTCTTTGGAGATTAAAGTAAGAAATATTGATTTGACTAGCATCGTTTTAGGTCAGAGGGCACCCCAAGATTTACCCCAGCCAATTAAGAACTTTCTGAAGTGTAGTCCCTGTTGTACTATAGGAGACACAGCAGGTAATTTGTGCACAGCAAGATCCCATAAATATTACTGTGACTGTGAGCAGATGATCTGTTTTTGTAGCGCTGATTGAATGATAAATATTGACCAATACAGTGAGGAGAAATCCCTTGCACCTCCTCAAAGTAGGGCCTTAAAATTTTTCGCTTTCAGGTGAAATGATGCCTTGGTTCAAGGTATAAGCTGAAAGTTAGCACTGCCAACAGTTTCGTGCTCCTTTAGTGCAGAACCAGGATGTTAGCCTAGATTGATGTAGCTCAAATCCCGGTGTGTGAAAGCTTCTGAAGCAAGAGTGTTACCAACTGAGCCACAGCTAACACCAAATCAGATATAAATAGAATTTCACGGTAAGGTGAGAACAAGTAATTTTTTTTTGTATAAAGGAATAGGTTAGTTAGCTTATCTGAATATTCTCATTGAATTATTGGAACAGGAGTAGGCCATTCAGCGCCTCAAGCCTGTTTCACCATTCATGACTGATCTATGGCCTAACTCCATATACCTGCCTCTGACCCGTATCTCTTACCAAGTTTAAATTAACAAAAAGTTATCTAACTCACATTTAAAATGAACAAGTGATCTAGCATCAACTTCCATTCATGGAACAGTGTTCCAAACCTTTACCGCCCTTATATTCAGAAATGCTTCTGAACATGAAAACAGAAATTGCTGGAAAATCTTAGCAGGTCTGGCAGCATCTATGGAGAGAAATTAGAGTTTAATGTTTCAGGTCCAATGACCCTTCTTCTTTTCTGAATGGTTTGGCCCTATTATTTAGACTATACTCCCGATTTCATAAGCACACTCTCATAATAGAATGAGCTTATCAAAGTAAATATTTTGATCATGATTTCACTTCTTTTCCCCTACTCTGTTATAATCACTTGCTTTGTTTATAGTTTGCTCTTCCAGTTGATCCTCTTGACTTTTCCCAAAGTGTTCTAACTTCACCATTATAAATTGCTGGGGACCTCAGTGTCAAACACCCCACAGGCGACAAATGTCAGGCGCCCTTTATTAAGCAGTCTTTAAAAAGCTCCATAAGTCTATTACATTCTGATGCAAAAACATAATCAACTGGAATTACTGCATTAATATAACAGGAAAATATTACAAGAGTTTTATTGTGTGACGAGTACCCTGTGCTAAATTACCTTGCAAAAGCTGTTTAAATGAAATTACAAAAGTGCCTGAAGCTAAGAGTATCCGATGCAATTCAAGGCTACATCAGTGTATCTCTCCTTTGTATCTTAAATCCAAAGCAAGCATTGTTTTCAAATAAGTTCAATGCTACATTTACTCATATTTTTAAAAAGATTATCAACATGAAGCAAACAAATTACAACTTATTCCATTTAATTTATTTTAATCTAATTATGCCTATGTTGTTTTTGCTGTCTCTGTTATTTATTTTTATATGTTCCCATCCTGTGTTCCTCATTATCAGATATTCTGTTTCATTGCTGTGTTCCATTAAGAGACAAATTAAAAGTAATCAGCTCACCAGTTTTAATTTCTCCTTTGCAGAACTGTAGCATATTTCTTTTGTGTGATAAGGTCATGCAGACACTGCTGTAAGCTTCATAAAAAGCAAATGCTGTCAGGGAGCACTTCTATAAGCAGTATTGTGTGTTTAAGGGAGGTAGCATGTCTTATGCTCGAGTTATAGACTACTGAATTGTACCTTTTACATGTACATGTGACTCACACCTCATTTCCCATCAACTTAGCACCACCAAAAGACTAAGCCAACATTCATAAATTCTTTGAGGACAGAACAAGGGTACTTCACCCTTACCGTTTCAACGGAAAGTGAATAGGCAAAGTTCAAGTGATGGGATTTATGCCCCTGTCCTCTTCAAGAAAGATATTCTTACAATTGGGTTAGTCTGCACTGCTGCCACCATTTTATAATATCAGATATGATCTGAGATATCTTGGGTAGATTTGCCACTACTGATCCCCTATCAGTACGTAAGACCATAAGAAGTAAAAACAGGAGAAGGCCAATCAGTCCCTTCAGCGTGCTTGACCATTCAATAGCATCATGGCTGATCCAACATTCCTCAAGTTCACTTTCCTGCCTTTTCCCCATAACTCTTGATTCCCTGACTGATCAAGAATCCATGGTCTTGTTGAATAAATGTGACTTTGCCTCTTGTGAGACATCAGGTTCAATTTATCAGTAAGTACACATTGCTACAGTGGGATAGGAATAACGCTGATGCTATGCTCTCTTGGTAGCAGGTTTATAGGCAGGGCATCACATAAGAATCTTGTGGGTAAAGTGCCAACTGGCTGTCCACCCACCTACCCACACTCCCATAATTATGCCAGCAGCTGTGTGATACTGTGTGGTCCACCTGCCAATGGTCAATCGAGGACCCTAAGTGGGCAGTTAATGCATACTTGAATGCCTTATCCCACAAGTAGCACCTTTTAACAGGTGGTAGGTGAGGTCCATCCTAAGCCAGGTTTCCCTGAGTGGCCTGGTGATGGGCAGAGTGCTCCCTTTCTTAACTTGTCCACCAGGCCCCTTGGGGCACTTATCCACTGGGTGATTCCTGTAATCCCTTCCCCTGTGACCTATCAATCCCTAGAACCCATCCTTCACAAACTTCACCCCATTCCCCATTCTCCCAGTTCAACTAAAAGCACCTACAACCATCGCAGCTTGTCTTCTCATTGTCAATGTGCAAACTGGCAATAGCCACCACTCTCAGGGTGGGGCTACCTACGTTGAGCGCTGATAACCTCCAATTGGTAAGGAGTACTGTGAGGCAGGGATTCACCTGAGGGGCAGAATCCCAGCTTCTTGCCTAATAACAGGAAACTGACTATGAAATGACTGCACAGTAGCTACTTTAGCCTGGATGGGCTCCTGATCATCTTTTTGTCTGGTGGGGGAGGGTGGAGAACAACAGTGGCCCATCAAGTACACTGCCCCAACAATGTTTGGAGAGATGCAAAAAGCTTTGGTGTGGTCTATGGGGGAAAGTCCCGAATGAGACCGGGAATGTGGGGCTTCAGTTATGCAGAGAGACTGGACTTGCTGTGATGATTCTTTTCATAATGGAAAAGATAAGGAGAGATTTAGTAAAGGTTTTCAAAATTATAAAGCATTTTGATAAAGTAAATGAGTAGGAACTTGTTTTCATTGACAAAAGAGTTAGTAATTAAAGGTTAAAAATTAAGGTATTTGGCAAAAATACAAGCAGGGAGATGAGCAGCAAATGATTTTAATCTCAAGCAGACTGAACTATAAATTTCAAAGGGGAATTACAGAGTAGAGGGAAAGAGTGAAGGTGTGAGACCATTTGTACAGTTGATTCAAAAACATTTGCACAAACAATTATCCACATCGCCTCCTTCTATGTTCTATGAACTCTCTCTTTCTCTTTGGTACCATGGATCTGCATCTGAACTGAAATGCCAAGAAAAATAAGCCTCAATTTAAATCCTGATCAAAGGTTGCCACACTTCCATCAGAACAATTTTGCAGTGACAGACATCATGGGTATAAGTCCAGGGTAGATGATCTGAAAAAGAAAAGTAGCATTGCATGATTTCTATCTGGTTATGTCTCATCCCAATTTTAGCACTGATGGAAGCCTCTTTATGGAAGCAGCTCAGCAGGCTGCAAAGTACACCCCATTATAAAGTCATTCCTGTCATGCAAACAATGCAAAGTATGTACAGAGGGAATCAGTACCTGAATAAATGTTCCCTTCACATTATCAGATGCCCATTAATTGTCAGTCATCATATTCCATCTGCATTAAAAGATTTAATCAAATTTGTCGTCAAAGGAGGAACAACAAGCATAGAACAGATGTACAGTGTTGCACACTACAATTTTCAAACATTATTTTGCTATAAATCACAGTTAAGACAAGTGGGATTAATCAGGAGCCACACTCTAATATAACATATTAATTAAGAGTTAGAACATAAAATATATTAGTGACGCTATTTTATATGACTCTTCCACCTAACTATGGATCCATCAATTGCATTGAAATGGATTGAACAGTTGTTTTGCATTTTTTATAGGATAGTAAAGCACAGGAGGAGGTTGTGGTGGCAATTCTGTTTATTCTATGCCTTAAAAAGGGCTATCTAATAGTTCCACTCCCCAACTCTTGCCTCTTGGCCCTGCGAATGATCCACCTTCAAGATAAATACCCAACTGTCCTTTAAAATTAAGTTGATCCAGTTTTTCTGTACATAGCTAAAACTTTCATAAACACAACAGCAAGAAAAACTAGGAGCAGGAGAAGAACAATGGCCTGCCCCACCATTCAAAATGATCAGAAATGACCTCAGTTTTCAACTAAACTTTCTGATTTTCTCTTCATATTCCCGTTGATGCCATTATCAGCTTTTCTGCTTCCTTTAATTACTATCAACCATCCCGTTGCTAACTAACTTCCTTTCTGTCTCTACACCCCATCTCCACCTAATCACTCACTTCACTTCACCCTTCCCCCCAACTCTTGTCATCAGCAGAAGTGCTACCTTTTCCTTAGCTACTACCAGTTCTGAAGAAGGGTCCCTGGACTCAAAATGTTAACTCTGCTTTCCCTCCACAGATCCTGCCAATCCTGTTGAGTTTCACCAGCAATTTCTATTTACGCTTCAAATGTTCATTACTCTTCATTTCCCTTGATTCCCCAAGAGAAACCTGCCTATTGTAGTCTTACATATAGTCAGCAATGGCACCTCTACAGTCCTCTGGGATAGATAATTCCAAATATTCAGAATCCTTTGAGCGTATGACTAAGGAGCAGAATTGATGATTTAGCTCTTCAAGGCTGATCCACCATTTAATATAATTGTAGAGGATCAAGGCAGGCTGGGAGACTGGAGTTGATGTGGGCCATGACCAGCGTCTCGAAGCACTTCATGATTATGGAGGTCAGAGCCACTGGGTGGTAGCCATTAAGGTACATTGCATGTGCTTTCTTAGGTACGAGAATGATGGTGGTCTTCTCGAAGCAGGTGGGGACTTTGGGAGAGGTTAACAATGTCAGTGAATACCTCCGCCAGCTGGTCTGCACAGGATCTAAGTGCACAGCCGGGGACTCCATCCAGGCTCATCACTTTCCTTGGGTTGACTCCCAGGAAGACCAAGCTGATGTCAGCAGTGGTGACAGTTGGCACAGGTGCATCCGTCACTATCGGAGCATGTGATACCGTGCCACTGGCATTCTGATCAAACCATGCATAGAAAGCATTAAATGCAACAGGGAGTGATGTGTCTTGTCCGCTATCTTGCTCTATGTTGTGTAGGCCTTGCCACAGGCAGCAGATGTCCGTATGGTTGGTTTGGGATTCTAACTTAGTCAGGTACTGCTTTTTGACATGCCTGATAGCATTACGGAGGTCACATCTGGATCTCCTGTATAGGTCTGGATCATCCGACTTGAATGCTACATGCCTGGTCTTCAGTAAACAATGGTTTTTCTGGTTCATCCAAGGTTTCTGGTTAGGGAAAACCCAGATTGAGTTTTTTGGCACACAGTCCTCCACGCATTTGCTAATGAAGTCTGTGATGGTGGTGGCGTACTTCTCTTGGTTTTCCACTGAGTACTTGAATACAGTCCAGTTCACCCATTCTAAGCAGTCCTAGAGACAATCTTCCACTGCCTCGGACTAGCATTGTATTTCTTTTGCCTAGACTAAAGGGTTAAAGACAACCTTAATGTTACAGACTGGCCATTGGAACTTTCACATCTGCTTTTTGTCCTTGATCAGTCTACATTTTGCACCCTGCTGTCCCTTATTCTGTCAGTTGTGTCATTCCCAACGAGCAATTCCATTAACAACAAAATAAAAGAACAAAAGAACTGTGGATGCTGGAAATCAGCAACAAAAACCAAAATTGCTGGAAAAACTCAGCAGGTCTGGCTGCATCGGTGGAGTGAAAGTAGAGTTAATATTTCGGGTTTAGAGACCCTTCTTCAGAATTAATATTAGCAAGGAAAAAGTTGGTATTTATGCAGAAGATAGGGTGGGAGCAGAAGGTAAGGAGTAAAAAATAGATGGAAATAGAGCCCAAAAAGAGAGAAGAACAGCTAGGCAGATAAAGGAGTGGGTAATGGTCAGCCTAGGAGAATGAATAGTTGATAATGGGAAGTATTAGTGCTAAAATGGCTAGTATGTAATACCAGACCATGTGATAACAAGGCCTGGTGTGTGGGAGTTGGGGGTAAGGGCATGGGAGAAGGTGCATCAAGCCCTAAAACTTTTGAACTTGATATTGAGTCCAGAAGGCTGTAGAGTTCCCAACTGTAAAATGAGATGTTGATTTTCTAGCTTGCACTGAGCTTTGCTGGAGCACTGCAGAAAGCCCGAGGCAGAGATATTGTCCAGGGAACATGGTGGGTGCGTTGAAGTGGAAGGCAACAGGAAGCTCAGGGTCTTTTTGTGGACAGAACATAAGTGTTCTGTGAAGATATCACCCCAGTCTACGCTTTGTTTCCCCAATGTAGAGGAGACCAAATGTGAACAGTGAACGCAGTAGACTAGACAGTGTGAGGTGCAAGTAAATCGTTATTTCACCTGGTAGGTGCATTTGGGCCGTTGGATACTGAGGAGGTAGGAAGTAAATGGACAGGTGTTGCACCTTCTGCAGTTGCAGGAAAAGGTGTCATGGGGCTGTGGCAGGGTTGTTGGGAGTGGACGAGGAGTGTACTTGGGTGTCCCAGAGGGAGCAGTCCCTGCAGAAGGCTGACAAGGGAGGGAAGGGGAATATGTGCCTGTTGGTGGCATCCCACTGGAGGTGGTGGAAATGGTAGCAAATGATTCTATGGATGTGGATGCTGGTGAACCCTATCGTTGTTGTGAGAAGGAAAGGAGACAATGAAGGCTGAAGTGCAGGAGATGGGTTGAACAAGGCTGAGGGCCCTGTCAGCTATGGTGATCAGGAATCCTTGGTTGAGGAAGAAGGTGGACATTTTGGAGGCTTCCTTTTTGAAGTTGGCATCATCAGAGCAGATGTGACGGAGATGGAGGAACTGGGAGAATGGAATAGAGTCTTTACAGGAAGCAGGGAGTGAGGATGTATAGTTGGGATAACTGTGGAAGTTGATGGGTTTGTAGTGGATATTGGTGCCTAGCCTATCCCCAGAAATGGAAACAAAGATGTCAAGGGATGGAAAGGAGGAGTTAGAGATAGACCAGGTGAAGTGAGAGCAGGCTGGAAATTGGAAGTGAAATTGATAAACTTTTCCAATTCCGAATGAGAGAGGGAGACAGCACCGATAATATCATTGATATATCAGAGAAACACTTGTAGGTGGGGGCCAGAATAGGACTGGAGCAAAGAATGTTCCACATACCCCACAGAGAGACAGGCATAAGCGGGGCCCATGTGGACATACATGGCCAACCCTCTGACCTGAAGAAAATGAAAGGAGTTAAGAGAAATTGTTCAGAGTGAGGACGAATTTGGCCAGGTGGAGGAGGATGTTGATGGTTGGGGATGGTTCAGGCCTTTTATCCAGGAAGAAGGAGACAGCCCTGAGACCATCTTGATGGGAGATGGATATGTAAAGGCATTGCATGTCCCTGGTAAAGAGGAGGCGGCTAGAGCCCACAAACAGGAAATTCTGAAACAGAGGTAAAGGGAAGAAAAAGTGAGTAGGAAGAGAAGAATTCTGGGAGACAGGAGCAGGCAGAAACAATGGGTCTTCCCGGGCCGTCCTGACTGTGGATTTTGGGGAGGAGGCAGAAGCAAACAGTGCCATTTTGGGAGACAATGAGGTTGGAGACAGTGGAGGGGAGATCACCAGCTGAAATGAGGTTAGTGGACCACTGTGGACATGGTAGTCTGATGTTCCATGATAGGGTCATGGTCCAGAGGGAGATAAGAGATAGGAGCTGGCGCTCAGTTTCTGCAATGTAGAGGTCAAGTCCACCAGATAACAACAGTGCCACCCTTGTCAGCAGGCTTAATTACAAAGAGTTGGATCTGAGAGCACGGAGTGCAGTCAATTCATACAAAGATAAGTTGGAATGGGTGAGGAGCCGCAGAAAAACTGAGGCAACTAATGTCATGTTGACAGTTTTGAAGAACAGGTTGAGTGCAGGTAAAAGGCCAGAGGAAGGTGTCCGGCGGAGGGAGAATGTTCAAGACTAGTGAAGGGGTCTATGGGGCAGGGAGAAGATTATTGTCCAAAGAAACGGGCACAGAGGTGAAGGCGAAGGAAGAAGAGTTTAACATCATGCCGTGCCCAAAATTCATTATTTTTTGACCGATTCCATTATCCTGTGGGCCAACCTTTGGCCTTCAAACTAACTTTTAGGGACTTAATAGTTTGTGTTTGCCTGTTATCAGCTGTTTAAGTTCAGAGCTATTCATCAAGCCTACTAATAAGCTGTTAATCATAGCAATTTAAACCAACTATTACAGTTTCTTATACACATTAATTAGCTTCTACATTACGGCAAGAGTTGTTTCCAGTTCCTCATATCAGTAATTTGTTGAATCATCTATAAGCTTCAGAGCTTGCTAGGCCACAATCTGAAGATATTTTTGTTTACTGTAATGGTCCAACGGTTCATTCCATGGCTACTAACCAGAATCTTCCTTGTACGTGAAAAACAAGTTGAAACATTCAACAATTTATTCTATCTCTAAAAAGTCTTTTGCTCTTGCAAAACATGCTGGTGCATGAAATTTGTTCAATGTTTGTGTTTAGTCAAGGCACAGAAGTTATCTTTATGCTTAGAACTGGTAACAAGTAGTGTGAGAAAATGTTTCAGGTTTACTCCCATATTTTCAAAGGTATTTTGACATATATTTTCAATTTGAAGGTAGTGGTGATGAAGTGAAGGGTAGATTTGCAATTTACTTAACTACGAATTCCAAACTCTCACCTGTAATATGCTGTCAAACCATGGCCGTTGTCAATCAAGGTTATCGACTTATTTGAATCCTGTAAAGGGATGATTGCTGTTCAATATTTTGTTATCAGTTCTTCAATATTTCCAATAATCTCTGAATTAGAGAACAGTTAGTGTTATGCTGAATAACGTATTGGCCTTTCTTGTCTCTGCACTCACACATTAATGAAGCAATGCAAGTAATGATGATAAGGGCGATGACATATTTCCTTGTTCCGGTAGTTTATAAAATGAAGGGAAATAAAATTCTTGGTGCCTACTACCAATTATAAAATTTAGTGTTTTAACAGCATATATACAGTGAACACTTTGAATAAGGGTCTGCAGCATTCTTTATGCTTTGATATGCATTTTTATGGTTCATTCAAAAAAATAAAGCCCTAATAACACTGTCACTTTACAAAGTACACCTGCTTTCTAGCATATAATTTATATGGATCTCAAAGGATATTGTTATAAAGAGGTGCCAATATATCTCTGTGTTTTAACTGCAAATTGAATAAACACATACAGTGCTCATGATACAGCCATCTTTTATTTATTAATGCATTTTATTTATTTATGTTACAGGTTATGTGATAATTTGACTGTTGTCTCTAATTTCCTTCATTGCAAGCGGGACTATGTTTCAAAAGGCAATTCATTGACTGTGAAGTGCTCTGAGAAACCCAATAGTTGTCAAATGGACAATAAAACCTTCATTTTCTAATTTTCTTTCTTTGAATTCTAGCTCTTTTCATAATTTCAATGCAAGAGTCAAGGTGAAATGAAACATGCTTTGTGTGGTAGAATAGTTCTTGTTTACATGGACTTCAATCCTCACTTGATTTGCATTTATTAACGGAAACAGCTACTTAATTCTGTTATCCCACTGCCTACAGTCTTGTAGGAAGTTAGTTTGGGTATAGTTATTAGCTAGCCCCCTGCCTGATAAGGCAGGAGGAGAGGTCAGGTATAGAGGGGTTGCTATAATTACTAGCACCTATCAGTATATGCTTCTAATACCTGTGTTAAAATAATGGACAAAGTTCCACTGGGTGAGGAGATAGAGTGCTCAGGTGGAATGAGAGAAATGTTTGGAGTGGAGAAATAATGGCACAGAGAATGAAGAATACATAATTTCTAAAAACAGGTTGCATTTTTTGAGTGCTACCCCTACATCTGAATCATAGAGATCATGAGTTTTCGTTCCACTACAATAACCGTAGCAGAAAGATTTATCTTGAAATTTCAGTGCAGACTGAAAGTGTGCTTTCATGATGGAAACTCAATCTATGTGACACTCAATCTATGAGATGTGAAACCACATTCCCCTTTCTCTCAGATGGCTGTTAAGTGCCTTGTGACATAATTTCCAGGAGTAGCTGCAGACTGCCCTGACCAACATTTACCATTCGATGACCATCAATGAAAACTGATGATCTGATCATTTTCTCATTTCTGTCAATGAGATCTCGCTGTGTAAAGATTTACTGCTCTGTTTCCTACAACAGTAACTTGCAGCTTGAAAGTATTTTGACAGCTGTAAAGTGCTTTGTAGACAAAGAAAAAGATTATCGCAGAATGCTTGAGGTTATAAAAGATACAGAGAAGAGTGGACTGAGGAACTCGCATGCACAGACTCAAGGGTAGAAGCATTACACAGTGTAATACTGATGCAAACAGACCAAGGGTTCTTCTGGATTCCATTGCCAATTAGCTGACATCAACAGCAGTAACAGTTGGGATACACTGATTAGCCTATGCTTCCCTGGACTCGGAAGATGATATATTCGACCTCTTAGCCTATTCATTAGCATTATCTGGTGACTGGTGCTGAGAAATGTTCTTGCACAGGTGACTAGTTGACAGCAGGATTAAGCTCAGTCATAATAGCTCCTGACGTTGCATATGACTGCCAGCACCTCTTGTTGGACCTTGCGGTTGAAAGATGGTCACTTGAACCAATATCACATGGTGTCAGCACTTTACTCCCAGCAAGAGTCCCTTCAAGAATAGTGGAGAGCAGAGAATAATGAGAGAACTTTACAGCAGCCAGAACGTATCAAACTTGCAGTAAGAACATTGCAGTGATGAAGGGCCTATGTCAGAAAGGAAATGGTTTTAGGTCATTATGATTTAATCACTGAAAAAAAATGTTAATGAATGACTTTGGTAAGAGGAAATGGCTTTTTGGATAAGGCAAAGTAATGACTATGCGATGATTGACTGTGTAAGAGTTTAAGATGGTATGAATAATGTTATGCAAATAACTGCCTACATTTCATCTGTGCAAGTTAATTTTATTAGGATTATAGACTTAGTTCCACAACTAAACACAATTTCCATGTTTAAAGTACCAGAGAATAGAATACAAGTAATAATGAACGAGACAGGGAGTTTATATGTGACTAAAATTGAATTCACCAAAAATTTCATTAAAATTTATAATAATGCCACAATCTAATGTTAATCAACTTAAAGCAATGAGTGCTGGACCTTAAATGCTGGTTCATAAATGGAGAATCTCAGTTGGAGGAATGATCAGGACAATTGTGTGATAGTCAGAAGTGAGGCATTGACTGTGGTGAATGACATCTTGGGCTGAATCTCAGCATATTTTGTCAAAGTAACATCTTTTCTTGAGTTTCATGGAAGGTTTCTCTGCATGACATCCAGTGGATTTACTCAGACGATTTCCCCAAACCCACCTCTTTAACTACTAACCCTGCCTTTATGGGGAACCTCTCCTCTGATTTTAGACCAATTCTACCACTTGCCATGGCTGAATGTACTCACTATTACCAGGATCCTTGGTGCCAGCACCATCTTTATAAGGCCATTGCACACCCAGTCAAGCACTGTCAGTCTGGAGATGCCCTATACAATTCATGATGTTTTCCCCTAATATGGCATATGAAGAGAAATTGGTAATGCACTGTGTGGATAGGACCTGGAGATCTTAGTGGATAGAATGGTGTAGAGTAGGGTCATCTTCTTCCCTCTGACAGGCAGAGGAGGCTACTATACCAGACTCAGAGCCAGCCTCGTCCAAGGTACCCACCAAGGACAGTGCAGTCTCAGATGTATAGAGGAAGGCCCAGCAGTTACAAAGAAATTCACTGAACTTCTCTGCTCCACCAGGATAAGTGCCTTATGTTCTCTCTGTTCCTTTACACTTACTCTACGTCTGCTACTGAACTCACATTCCACCAAGGCTCATGCTCTACCATTCTCACTATTGTATGTAATGTTTCCTCTCGCTCGCTCTCATCTACCCACTCTCCCAGACTAGTAACTCTGCATGCTCTTGATGCTACCTACTCTCTCACTTGGAAGATCTTACCACCTGGCCCTGCCTGCACCAGCACTAACAGTTCTGCCAGCTATTACCATCTCATTCAATCTCTCCCTTTCTCTCATTTCAGGAGAAAACAGCCCTCTATTGGTCACAGAAAGCCTAGGCAGGTACCCAACATTTGGTTCCTCGTGTCCTATGAAGAGATGATCCCCTGACCCTGACTGCCCCACATGGCTGAATGACTGTATCTTAGCCTCTGATTGATATGGGAGGTTATTCTTGACTTACGGTTCTGGGGCCCCCTGGCCTTCAGGTGATATCTCCGAATTAAGTCCCCTTAGACTTTGAGACCTGGCCATTCACTTGCATCTTGTGCAGTGTTCACCTCGTTGAGATGCTGACAATGGGGCAAATGTGAGTTTGATGTGCCAATATGCCATACAGATATACACCCGCCTTGCCTGATGATTGCTAACTTTGATGACAGTTTTGTATCTGCACTAAACCGCAAAGCAACAGAGCAGCACTGTCACTCTTTGAGCTCTGGCTTAGGAGACAAAGTGCAAAAAGACTAGGGATACTGTCAGCATCCAGGTAGGTGCTAAGTGAATGGGTGCTAAGAGACCAAATATGTTCTCTTGAGAAGCAGCCTGGACCAACCATGAGATGGTTGTCTGTCCTTTTGGGTAAGGTATCCTGGTAGCAGCATTGCCATGAGAGATGGTGGTGCACTCTGAAATGTAGTAGCAAACTGCAAATGGATCATAGATCTTCTAAAATGTCCTGGAAAGACTGGCATATGTTAAATGTCAGTACACATGGATGTTGGTTGGATGTGGTCAATGCCCTGAGACATTGGTGCAGGGAACGAGCAAGCAGTGAACTGGAGTCACCAGGTACCCGCTCAGACTTTTTTGTTGGATAATTTTCAGCATGTAGGTTCTATCTGCCGGGTTCTGGAATGGGAGACCACATATTAATAAGATGAGATTTCTGTTAATGAGGGTGATAAAGAGTGATAATCCCTATTAACAAGTTGTTGCTGTTGAGGAGTAAGAATCCATCTGGAACTGTTGTAAAATGCGACTTGTTGCTCCTGACACCGAGACAGATAATATTAGACTTCTCACGTGATTCTCCCAAACTTCTTGTCTTAACCCATGCCATTCAGGAGCTGTTAAGATCCCCTCCTCGTGTATACAATAAAACACTGGACAGTAGAACCAGTTACATATTGATTCACTCAACCCAAGACTAACAAGCATGAGGAATATTCTTTCATTCGTAGCTTTTTCTAAGGATATTTTTGCATGCAGTAATGAACTGAAAGCTTTCTCAATGTTTCAAAGAGCTGAGTTACAATGACCAGAGGATCACAGGTTGAACTCTCCAGTTTCCAAGTCAGGGCTAAGTTTTGAGTTAGTTATCCAGAACAAAGAATACCAGTGTTCCCTCCCCTGATTGCTGTTGATCAGCCCAAGCTGAAGGTATGCCAGATAGAGTGTGACTGGAGTTCAGTGCCTTGTTGATGTTGGTTAGCCAACTATCTGGGGTTTGTCATGATTCAATTCTCTATTCAACCAGCCAGGAACATATTAGGATAGTGTCTGGATGTAACAAAGGCATGATTAAGTATTTCAAAATGAATGAGCTGAGGCAGGGATCATGGTTGGTATTGTAATACGGGTAGAAATAAGTGACCTGAGTGATGGTACAGACTTGTGGTAAGGAGTTGATTTCACAGTCAGATAT